AGTTGTTCGTCAAGATTACTGGAGATTTTTTTCTTTGAATCCAAGGCGACAAAAACAAGGCGCGGGTGGATGATTTGCAGCTACTGCTCGATCTGGTTGGTCTGACTGCACACTCGTGGACTAAACCAGTCCAAGTATAGCCGATGGAACTTAATCCTCCAGCTGCATTGCTCGAATGGACCATTTTAGCCAACTCGCTTGGGTGCCGCCGGAAGACTTTATCATGCAATAAAAATGCATGGGGAACGTGACCACAGCAACAGTTGCCTGATGAGGATGAATCTGTAACAACTCACTTCTTACTTACAGTAGTTGCGATATTTTTTGCCCTCTTTCTTTCTTGATTGCACTTGTCCTCGATTCAAAACTTTACCTTCTGATTACCTTTCATTGCATTTCGTTCCACCAATATGCTCTTCTCGCTCCTTTTTTTACCCACTCGATCCAGGATGAAGCGATCCGCTCTACCAGGTTTCTCAACCCGAAGATTTGGATATCTCGGCAAATGAAGACAATGGTTGCCATTTTGGCGGTCTACCCATTTTATTTTATTTTATTTTATTCCCCTAGTAATGAAATAAACTCGTCGCGCGGTAACCGCTTGGTGTTTCATCATCGGCTCGCATCCTTGGGACCTTCACCCCCTTTGTCTTTGGGATGGAATTCCTGAGTGAATCAATCGCTCTCGTGGCTTTCCTAAAAGGGGAGGCTGCATCAGGGCTAATTTTAAAAAACCTTTTTACCCCAACACCACCACCTCATCTTCGCCCTTGTTCTCCCGCATTCTCTCTAATGCATGACGATCGGGGTCGGTGTTTTTTTCCACTGGGTACGTGTGCCACACACAACTTCGAAGATACTCCCTTCCTTATCGACATCTCTGCTTGGCACTTCTTAGCCCTTCGTCACTGTATGAACGCAAATGCCTACTCGGACGAATGTGATTGGTAGGAGAATCTCACCTCGCGGGAGCCACCCGTTGATCATTCGAGCGGTGGACTCCAGTGCCCTTTGGGTGGAGACCCGCCTCGTCAGATCTTCCATATCCACCAGTCCACCGACTAATCACCGCCTGCGTTGCCCTGTGGAGGATTCGCTTTGAAAAGGATTTCTTTTTTTGTTCTTTCTTGCTTCCTTTCTTTGCTTTGCCATAAAGACTACGATGTCATCAATTGCTGATCATGTGAGTGGCCCGGGGCGTGATTGGTGACGGGCAGAAAAGGAGTCCCATTCCAATGCGCTCCGATGACCCATTTCTTCCTCCTCCGTGCACTGTCTGTACGGAGTCGAGATACGCATACGGAACCGCCTCTTATTCAGTTGTCTGGCACTGACGTAGTATACAGAGGATGTAAGGAAAAATGTTGCTACGTCGGGGAGTGGAAGAATCATCAGCCCCAACATGGTGCTGTCGCCAAGAACATTCTTACCCCATCGTGTCTTACACCATGATCCAGGGATCTTGGTCAACACCCCCAAGGAAACCTACTCCTTACTTCATGCATAATATCGAAAGGTTATATGCCAACCCGCCAATGCAGATTACTCTTCTTCTCCGTCCTCCTCTCTGGTGCAGGACTCCTAGCTTGCTAAGTTATGCAGAGCCTGATTTGGTGAACTTATTTTCCTATTGGTGATACCGCAAGTCTCACTATAGGAGTAGGTACATGCTGCAAGTCAAGAACATACAGCTGTAGTTCGCTCGGCATCAGTAGGTTAGCCGTCCAGTTAATATGGCAATGCACGCCCACGGACAGTAAAACTTGTTTTCACACTTGATACTTCTTCGCCTGCCACCTCAACTCTACTGGTAATTTAGAGGCAATATATGTATCATGTTTGAAACATGGTTGAATCGCCTGAGGTATCATGTGGATCCTCCATTCGACCTCCATCAGATACGTCTCGTCTGAAGATGCGGCACGAAAGGTTGTCTGTTTCCATATCCGGGGGCGGGTTACGGTCATGTACCAATCATGGGCGTCATCCTTTCAAAGCCACCGACCAATATCCTTGTTACGATCGGTGTTTAGAAGAGATCACACGAACGTGGGCCGCTGAGACGAAGACGAAGTCGAAGAAGGCCAAAGGAAGAGGGCGGGTTGGACCCGTGGATCAAGTATGATGTATGTTTAATGACCTATTTTCCGAGTTGGGACAATAGAGGGGTGGAATTACCGAAGAATGTGTGGTGTGATGATGGAGCATGAGCGGTGTGACTGACAGGCGGATACTCTTTAGTAACAGTAGTATATCGATGATACGATCGGACTAGTGTTATCGTTTTCTCCGATAGCGCTGGACTCACAGATCCGTCTCATTCCCTCTATCGTTCCTGATTCTTTGGTCGATTAAGATATCAGCTCAATGCACTGACTCAAGATGAAAGATGCAGAACACATGAGTCAAGGGAAATTAAAAACGCGACCGTCCATATAACATGACTGAATTTCTCTCGGTCCGAAGTAGGCTGAGGTCATTTGATACTAAAATATTGAGGAACTAACAAATTAGCGCCCTCCACTTGAGCCTCCGAAGAATGTCAACGTCAGTGCGAGATACCGACGCAGAACTCCGGCACTGATAGGAAACAAAAATGCGGGAGGTACCTCCAGGAGCTCTTTGTTCCGAGTTTCGTCTCTGGTAGTGTTGTAGTAACCGTAGGATCTCATGCACACAAGCGCCATGGATCTGTTGAGACGTTTCTAGACCCCATCAAAATGAAGCCGCTACTGTATGGCCTTTTTGCACTATACCTATACTTAGGAACGATGGGAGGATTTGGTATTACTAGTACTAAGGTACCTTAGTACTAGTGATACCCCTATTGCCTATTGGCGCCATTCCTCTGCATGCGCCAACCTCGAACACCCCCTCGAGCCTCTATACCTGGTCAAGCGTCATGCAGGTGACCAGGATATGCCCGTGATTCGTCCAATGCCGGCCGACTTGAAATGCCCGCCAGGACGCTATCGGCTGCACGTTGCGCCCCACCACCAATCACGATGTGTACTGTCCGTACCAACAGGTGGGTCTTCTCAACCTTAGGTAACGAAAGCACGGGTCACCCTAACATCCTTTCCAACCATCATTTCCCACCCCTCAACAAAACAAAAAAAAAAAAAAGGCAATGTGCAAAAAAGGAAAACGGAAAAAACTTTCCACTGACCTGCAGATGGAGGTTGAAGCCTTTTTTGAATTGGTTACGAACAAAACAAATTAATCCTTAGTGATCAGCTCATCTGCCGTCATGGAAGAAGCACAGATACGAATCATATTGCGAATTACGAATTGCCTGTTAACTTGGTTCATCGATAGCCTTTCTGTCGTCTTCGTGTTGACCTCTCGTCATTAAATTGGGTTTAATCTATTCTCGCATCATGATATTCAATGTACACTGTAAAGGGCCGATCGGGATACCCGCTCTCGAGGGACTCGGAAAGTTACTCCACCTTACAGAGCCGAAGAATGTCACTTCCTGGGCTGGATGTTATGTTGATTGATGACATGACACTCCTTTCAATCTGAAACTGATAGATATTTGCCGTTCCAATGGTTCACCGAAGGGGCCAAGAATCATTCCCCAAATTTCGGACACTGATGACTGGTACAGGAGTGCGATAGAGAAGGTTCGCAACCCCGCCATCGGAGATACACTCATTCTCTTTGGTCAATCTTCCAGAAAAGAGTCGTCTTTATGATTTGATAAGGATAGATGAGCGGTCGACACACGCTGAGTAACGACTAATATATACGAACCATTGTGGCCACCAGTGAGATTTACAGATAAAGGGGTAAAAGGCTAAAACAATTAAAAAAGAGAGAGAGAAAAACGAAAAGAGAAATCCATGGATCCATGATGCATACGAGGTATACCGCATACAGCGTAGTATTTCCCAACTGTACCCGGCTGCGCCCGTACCGTACGGTACGTATGCATGTATGGACCTTGAGCACGGGTACAGCGGCTCGCCAACCAAGGGGAGATCAGAACACCGATAAGAGGGTATCATTGTATATACGATAATTAATTATATTAGTATATCGCCAGCCGCTGTTCCCTCAGCCTTTTCTCTCTTCCTCCGCTTCCATTTTTCCTCTCAACCCCCCTCTTCTCGCATGAGTATATATCTCTATATCAAGAAAAACAGGCTGGACGGTCATCCTCGCCATTGATCCGGATCTTTTCTTGCACTGTATTAAAAATACCTGTTTCTGTTAGTTTCTTACACTTCTATTTTATTTTTGTCATACATTTTTTTCTCCGTTGCCTGCTTGACATTTTTCCTGTTCCCCATTTTAACTCAAGCTAAATTACCCTGTCATTCGCTGCTGACGCCTCTCAGCCCCTCTCAGCTGATTGATCGAGTGCACATCCATATCCACCGTTGCCCCCCATCATCCACCACCACTAATTCCACTAGACGGTGGTTCTCGCATTTTAGCGCCCTTGGATCCTGTCTTTTCTATCCCATCCCATCCCGTCTCCTCCTTTTGGGTGGTCACCGTTTTCAGCACGCCTCATTTTCTCTGTCCAGCCGACTACATCTTCCCCCAGCTGAGTGCTGAGAATCACCTCGTCTCAGCTCTCTCCCTCCAAGCTATCCATCAAGCATTGTTGTGGTTGGAGACCTCGTGAATTCGTATCAGGCCTCTTATCGATTATTTTAATCCCGGAGTTTTTCCAGGTATGCTCACCTCTTCCTTCCTTTTTTTTTTCTTTTTTTCTTTTTTCTTTTCCACACCCCTCGGTCCGGTTGCGATTCCCAATAGCCCTGGAGCCTCTACTTGGTTACCACAGACGGGCATGGGAGACGTGCTTCAGTAATCGTTGCTGACTGTTTGCTTCCCCTGACGTAACAGGTCCTCTCGCGTCTCACTTTCTCTGGTTGTCAGCAAAATGTCGACTTCTGTTTTGAACGCTGCGAGTAGTTGTTGAGCGCTCCTCTTCAAAGTTCGCCTGACGTGATCGTGTCTCGTTGGGCGAGGCATTGTCCGTAATGGAGAAGCTGAACAATGAAGACGGACAGCTTTTCATAAAGGTTCGTATCTCATGCATGACACAGATCTTGTATCATTCTTTGTCCTGGCTCGTCAATAGACTGGCTTCTTTGTCCACTAACCTGGGACTATTATGCAGAATCTCGCCAGTTTCGTACGAACCCATGAGAAGGCACTCGCCAACGCGCTTCAGTTGAAACGCCAGCCTAGCAAAAATGCGTCCACCCAGTCGAGCTCGGCTACCAACTCGGCCTCATCGGCTTTGGCGGCAGCCTTGTCATTCGGTGCCTTGAAATTCACCTCTCAAACTATCAAACCGCTAAACTTACCCTGACCCCTCACCACCTCTTCTATCTCCTCTCCCGATTCGAGGATCTCTCCATAGCCGTGGGCCCTATGAATGTTAGACTGGAGAATATTCATACAGACGTGTCGCAGTCCTATGTTTCGTTCCTGAATAAGCCTCAACGGTCCAGGGGCGACAGGGATTCTATCCACTCTGTATCAAGTGTCCGTAGTGTCATGTCTGGTATGAGTGCTCTCTGGTCGTCATTCGGGCTAGGCTCGAAGGACTCCGTCTCCAAGTCAGAGAAGGCCAAAGCAGCCCTAGAAGCAGATCTTAAATATCTATACTCTGCTTTTACTAAAATCCCGTGCCTGCGTCTAGCCCCTGACCGTCGTGCCCGCCTGATCCGCGGATACGAAGAGTTTCCTTTTGATACCGCTGTCCCTCTCCACTCCTTTAAAAATTTGGGTGGACTAGAGATAATTGATATAGACTTTCGCTCGTTTTTCGGCTGGGACCGACTATCTGAGCAACTGCGCACCCTTACTGTGAAAAGAGCCAAGATCGAAGATCCGGGGGATCTGTTGACGGGGATAGTGTTGGACGACATTGACAAGCGCCGGCGGCGATCGTCCAAGAATCAACAATCGCCTGTTCTCGGGTGGAGTGGGAATACATACCCTCAGCCGGTCTACAAGTCCGACAACTCTGGCTCCCTCTCTGCTCCAGGATCCCCGGTGGCTGATACGACGTTCGGTACAAGCACCAGTCCCCAGGCGGCCCCCATGCTTAGAGTAGGATCCGAAGGTGCTAGAGGGCATGCACGAACGGGAAGTATCTCGCCTACGCGCCCGACGAGCTCCAAACACTCTCACCGTCATAGCCGGCGCATACGACGCACCGGATCTGGTAGTTCAAACTCAAGTGATAACACCGGTCATCGTAATGGAAGTTCTTCAAACCTGGCTGCTGGCGGTCTTCCGCCGTCCAAATGGCAGTTTTTGCGCCATCTGGGTCTACCAGACAACTCTTTAACCTCCATCACAGCCGCCGGGCTTGCTCCGGTCGCCAATACACTGTACTCGCTTGATCTGTCGGCGAATCTCTTCACCGATGTCCCGGACAGCCTCGCAACGCTGGTTGCTTTGCGAGCCCTTAATCTCTCAAACTGCATGATAGAATCTCTCCACTCACTGTCTCGCAACCCTCTTCCTGCTATAACCGCTCTTAACCTTCGCGGCAACCGGCTTCGCTCGCTTGCGGGGATTGAAAGGCTACTCTCCCTGGAAAGGTTGGACCTCCGAGACAACGACCTGACCGACCCCACTGAGATTGCCAGACTTACGAGTCTCCCTGAGATACGGGAGATTTGGGTGTCTGGAAATCCTTTCGTGAAGACGCATTCCGGCTACCGCGTTGTAATCTTCAATCTCTTCCGTCGCACCCCGGGATACTCGGAAGACATCATTATCGATGGATCCAGTCCAGGGTACACGGAGAGGAAGCAGCTAGTTGATCGGGTTGCCGAGCCCGAAGGTACCCCGGTCATACGATCAGCTGCCGCGGACCACTCGGCCGTCGTCAGCAAGCCAGCCAACACCGCAGGACTGGGAGCCGCAGCTGCCGGGCCCGCTGAGGGAGATAATGGTTATGCACGACGAACACTGCAAAATGAATATGGCGTTGAGTCTACTCGTCGGAAGAAAGGCCATCGAAGGAGGATTGTCAACACGTCTGTGGAGAAGGTCTCAACTGATGGTAAAGAAACCCCAGGTGCGATAGTGCCTTCTATCCTTCCTGTTGAGCATATTCAATTACCCGTTGATCCATTTGTGACACCGTCTTCCGACCGTCAACGGAGATCTGATGGTGGACCTCAGGTCGGACCTGCGAACGTTCAAAGCCCAGAAAAGGTCGACAGTGATCCAGGCGTCTCCAGCCAGCCGATGAACGAGTCTTTCATACCTCGGGCAGTCCAAGACCTGGACTGGAACGTGGATGACAATTTTTACCGGCGGCAACTGGAGGCTCTGAAGCACGACGTTGGCAACACCTGGCTCCATGCGCTGGGAGACCGTGGCTGGGATCAGACACCACGGGACATCAACGCTCCTCGCACGGGTGTGAACCTTGGGGATTCTGCAATCATCCCAGCGGAGGCACTCACCCGGGCAAACAATCTGCCCATCCTAAGCGGAGGCCGACCCTGAGTTGCCCATCCGTATCTTCTGGTTGGTCTACCACCAAGCAGCACAAAAGTCGTTCAAGTTGACTCGTTTAACTGGTTCCTTTCGCCTATCAATTTCTTTTGACTATTACAATCACCCCCGTCACATTTCCTACTTGTGGCAGTGGCAGTTAGCCACTGAGTGCATTTGGTGGCGTTCTATAACCTTTCGACATAGCCGGCCGGATGTCTGAACATTTCTGCTTTTTACGACTACGATATTTTTACCCTCTCCCAACTCTCCTATCTACCGTACACCTTGCATTCGACCGTTTCAGGCTGGTCCATGTTATGGGAGGCAATTTATTCACGAGATTCACCGTCTCTAGACCGCATGTATTATTGTATTTGGTGAAGGGTTTACGGTGTTCACCGGCGTTCTGAAGATTTCTGTTTGCTTTTCTTTTTTTTTTCCTGGCCAGCCTTTTGATGAGTTCCTGATCCTCCTTCTTTTTCGCCTCTTTTTAACTCTTCTTCTATTCTTCATCCTCTCTAATGATTGACCGAGGGGGCTCGACTGGCACCTGTTGAGATGCCATTGTGTTGACTTGCTTGATGTATACCTCTTATCTGTTGTTTCCTTCTCCTATCATCCCCAATTACCCCCTGCTCGAGTTTCGGAGTTACGCAGAGCAGTGATGAAGTTCGGATCTAATGCATGAGACATGAAAAGAAGAATGTGCGACGAGTTACTTTGCGCGCGTGAGAGAGCCGAGAGTGAACCAATCTCTCCGTGAATCCAATACTAGCAGTAGTGATTGAATGCAAAAGCGCGTTGGGCGTTGACGAAGATGCACTGCGTTATCGATTCCGCGTAGGAGTAAACGTGTCGTCGGGATAAGAAATGCTAGGCGACTAAGGCGCGTAAGTGCTTTATGCACAACATCTACTGGCAGGAGAAAATATGATTTGAGGGGCGGCCATGGATCGGAATTCATTTTTCTCCTACTGGTGAGGGGGAAAGACTGCGCGCGATCGGAGGGTGGCGAACGAGGAAGATCAGATGGGGGATCGGATAGGAGATGTCTGAATGTTGCTAGGGGGGGAGAAGAAGAGAAGGGAATGTAGTCGTCATGATTGTCCAGTTTTCGTTCGTATCATGGTTGAAAGAATTGAGGCTTCAGATGAAGTTGAATGAATGAATGGATGGATGGATGGATGGATGGACGTTCATTACTACTAGTACTCAGTACCTACTACTAGTACTACAAGTACTAGTAGTACGAAGTAGCAACTACGAGGAATACATTCTTCCCAAACCGACGACGGACCAATGAGGGGGCGAGGATGGCCGGGCGGCGAAGCGGTTGAAGGAAACCTTTTTTTTTTTTTCCTCTCTCAGGTTGACAGTCTCGTCTTTTTCACCCTCTCACTGGTCAAGCTGGTGAGTTCCTCTGCTGCCCTTTGATCTCCTGCCCCGTCTGTCTCGACCCTCCTCCTCCTCCTTCTCCTCTTCCCTCGCTCCCTCTCCCTCGCTCGTCTTCAAGAATTCAGCAAAAGAAACAGAAGCAAAAAGCAAAAGGAAAAAGTCTCATTCTCATTCTGCTGCCCAAATAGGTCCCCCAATCTAGGCCGAATTATCAAAATTTTCAGCCGTCTGAGCGGAACAGGAAAAAGATCCCTTGATTGCCGACGCTTCTCGCTCTCGCTCGCTCGCTCACTCACTCACTCACTCACTCTCTCCCTCTCTCAACAAATCCCTTCCACAACAACCCCTTCACGCCACCACAAGATCGCTTTCGCTTTTCGAGCAAGCGTTCCCATCTCAACCCTCCGATTTGCACCGCTTTTCGGCCATTCCATCCCATCTGATTTCCCCCAAAAGGGAAAAAAATAATAGCCTTGTCGAGTTTTCCGCCAAAGACTCTATTTTTTTTTCCGTGTTGCTCCTCCACAGTCTTTCAGGCTTCGTCTCAACACCCGGAATTCGCACCACCTCGCTCTCACCGCGCGTCATCTACGATCTGAAGGGGAGTGTTTGATCTTCACACCTCGTCTGGCTCCTCGCCAGATTTCCCCATTGTACGAGGCCATTCGGCCTGTTTTCGTTTCCCTATCTTGTTGTTCCCTTTAGATTCGTTTGGTAAGCGCTCCACCCCTCTTTCATCGCTGCCTCAACCACGACGAGCAAGAAATCTCCCGAGCGCATTGTGCACGCGTTTTTCGCCGGGCCCTGACCAGATTTATCGAAATTTTCTATCCGTCATGACGGGAGAGGGATGCTAATCGTTTGGTTATCACAGTATAGACGCCGCGTCATCGTAACAAGCGCTTCGCGAACTACCCTTTATCCTTCCTTTTCTTTCCTTTTTTTTTCCTTTTCTTTCTTTCCGTCGTTGCCTACGGTTGTGTGCATTATCTCCTCTTTGTTTTTCTTTCGCTCCCGTCGTCTCTCGTTAGAGCCCCGTCGCCATGGCTGATCAGGAAGTGGATTTGGACTCGATCATTGATAGATTGTTGGAGGTGAGGGGTAGCCGCCCGGGCAAGCAGGTCCAGTTGTTGGAATCGGAGATTCGCTATCTCTGCACCAAGGCTCGGGAAATTTTCATCTCGCAACCCATCCTGCTAGAGTTGGAAGCGCCAATCAAGGTAACGCCGCGGCCTTGGCTCCTGAGCCGGAATCCCAGGTAACAATGGTATTGTCCCTGACGGCTAACACGCTGGCGCGATCAGATCTGCGGTGATATTCACGGCCAATACTACGATCTTCTGCGTCTTTTCGAATACGGCGGATTCCCGCCCGAGGCCAACTACCTGTTCCTCGGCGATTACGTAGACCGTGGCAAGCAGTCCCTCGAGACGATCTGTCTACTCCTGGCCTACAAGATCAAGTACCCCGAAAACTTCTTCGTTCTTCGTGGAAACCACGAATGCGCGTCCATCAACCGTATCTACGGCTTCTACGATGAATGTAAGCGGCGGTATAACATCAAGCTGTGGAAGACTTTCACCGATTGCTTCAACTGCCTCCCCATTGCGGCCATCATTGACGAGAAGATTTTCACCATGCACGGTGGTCTGAGCCCCGATCTGAACTCCATGGAGCAGATTCGTCGTGTGATGCGTCCCACTGATGTAAGTGTCTCCCGGTTACCCCACCCTCACCCGTCCGGGTTGTCTGTTGGAAGGCGATTTTTCTTTGCCCTCTGGCAGCTCAGCCAGGCGTCACGATGGGTTCTCCCAGATATCCAAATCCTCTCGCCTGGCTCCTGAAGCTCAAGGCTTGGCCTGCTAACGGAAACAGATTCCTGACTGCGGTCTCCTGTGCGATCTTCTGTGGTCCGATCCGGACAAGGACATCACGGGCTGGAGTGAAAACGACCGAGGTGTCTCCTTCACGTTTGGTCCCGACGTCGTCTCCCGTTTCCTTCAGAAGCATGATATGGATTTGATTTGCCGTGCACATCAAGTGGTCGAGGACGGCTATGAGTTCTTCTCCAAGCGTCAACTCGTCACGCTTTTCAGTGCCCCCAACTATTGTGGAGAGTTCGACAACGCTGGTGCCATGATGAGTGTCGACGAGAGTCTACTCTGTTCCTTCCAGGTATGTTGCCACTCGTGTTGCCCCCGCTCAATGGGACGATGTAGGAAGCTAACCCGTTCCTCGCAGATCTTGAAACCAGCAGAAAAGAAACAAAAGTACGTTTACGGGGGCATGAGCTCAAACAGGCCCGTCACTCCTCCGCGAAAGCAAAAGAAGAAGTAAGACATACGAGCTTTTCCATGTGCAGCAGGTTCGGACGGAGATAAACACAACATACCCACCCACTCATCACCACACGAGACCGGATCCAGATCCCCCGCATCATCGATGGCCAGTGCATTAGACGGTCGGAAGCAGCAGATACAACAGGTCACCCGAAAGCGCCTTACGATATGCAGAGCGTCATTTCCTCCCCCGCATACCACCTCCAGCGACTCCGAGTGATATCTTTTTCTTTACGCTGAATATGTTATTTTCCTTATCTCTTTATATGGAAGGTACTTCTGCTCCCGTCGGGGTCGGTGTTTTATTCCTTTTTTTTAACCCTTTTTTTTCCTCTACTTTCTATTTCCTTGTTTATCTTCACTTCTGCCTTTTACTTTTCCTTTCCTTTTCAATAACTCTTGTCTTGTCCGAATCATTTACTGAGGGAGGGGAAGCGACGGGCTGCATTTGGTGTTTTCCGTTTGCGCTTTTTTGAAAATCTTCCTGTGAGTGTAATGCCAACCAAATAAGCAACATGTCCATGCCTTTGAACTGCAAGATCCATCCCATCCTCCAATAGCCGTCCTTGCTTTCCCTGCCCTTCTGTCCTCCATAACCCTTCGCCCAGTGGAACCGTAATGGATCCCCCCGAGGGTCTTGTGAAGCGGCCCCGTGCCTGAAACTTGAATGGATTGGTTGACTTGACGATAACGAACACCACATGCCATCATATCAGCATATCATGTATCCCTTGTCATGTTTATGAGAAGTCCATGTTATCGATTGATTCTTTTTATCTAGCGGCAAAAGAAATCCGACACCGATGCGACAACAGTCTTTGCTACCCTTCCCCTTTCCTCTTCCTGGCTCATCTGTGCAGAGGTGGTGGAGGTTTTTTTCGGATCAATTCGTTCGATTCAATGTATTACTGTATTTTAGAGGCATAATCATCGGACTTGTTGATTTCTTCCCCTTTTCTCATTTGGGCAAAGACTTCGTTGGTAGAAGGGCCTACTAGGTTTTTGAAGTACGTTGAATGGGTTCTCTAAGATCTACAAAGGTAATATACGACCAATCCCGTGTCCTTGCATCATGTATCGAGAGCTATTCCATATAGTCATGATGTAAAACTGCTATCAGGTTCTCTGGATCTCAAGTTTAGCGGTGGGATTCTGGACTGCCCCTAGTCAGTGTATCTATAACGCTCAAGATTTTTCACGTGGGACTCAGAGCAAAAAGAAAATTAGACCTAGTAAATAGCTAATTCGAACAAGCTAAATCGATTGACGATTGACCATAATCAATTACATGCCACCGAAACCAGGAGAGACGATGTGCGAGATATCAAATATAGAAAGAAGTACTCCGTCCAGTCCATCTACTCATGAACTCCCCCCTCCCCCTTTGTAAATGTTTCCGCTCAAGCTTGCCTGCACTTTTGGTTTTTCAAGCTTAAACGTATTGAGACAGCCACCTGATACCCTCGCCGTAGCCTGTGATTGATTAGTTGTGGTGTTTCCCTGGGGTGACGGATGGATTATGAATGGGGCTGAGGGGCTTGGCGGGACTCACCCTGTCTCATCACAACACTGCACATGAAGACCTCAATAGGTCGGATGCCCTCGAGGGGCACCTTGCCCTTTCCTGTGGTCTGGTAGAGTCCCAGCTGGTGTCTGAGTTCGTCCTCGCTGACAGCGTCGGGGTGGTCGATCTTGTTGCCGAGAATGAGGAAGGGGACCTTGGCGAGCTCCTCCATGGCGAGGAGGGCGTCGAGCTCGGCCTTGGACTCGGGGAAACGCTCGTGGTCCTTGGCGTCAACGAGGAAAACGATACCGCTCACTTCGGGGAAGTAATCCTTCCAGAGACGACGGGCTGTACTCGGAGTGTATTGTTAGAAGTTGATTCACCCGATCAAAGGTGTACAGGGCGAGTTGGTTGGGGATAAAGCGTAGATATGAGGCGGGATAGATGTTGTGGTAAACTGTGTTTGATGCACTTACCCTGCTGGTGACCACCCAAGTCAAAGGTAGTGAAGCGGTTATTTCCAATAGCGAGCTCCTCCGATGCTATTGTTGGTGCCCCGTTAGCCTTTGTACCAATTCGCCACCCGATTCTAGTCCCCCGGTAAATCGACCCGTGCCACGTCCACATCGTTTTCAAATCAAGGATACATACTAGGATGAGCGGTAGGCTGGAGAACGGCAACCCGGTCGTTCTAATATTTCTCCTCGCGTTAGCATATGGTTTCCCCGTCTTTCATTTCCTGGGCCGCAATTGAGCGGCCCCGTCACACTGCGCCTGGGTGTACGGTGGCGGGAACCGGAGAGCACGTGCAGGGATAGGTACGCACCTTCAACATGTGCAGAAGGGTCGTCTTTCCGGCATTGTCGAGGCCGAGGAAGAGGAGCTTGGCGTGCTTGTTGAGCAGGCCGAGGGAGGCCAGGACATCGTAGACTGTGCGGAGGCGACCATTAGCGACTGTATTTCTTTCATGGACGGTGTCTCAAAGTAGAAGATGTCCAGGTAGTGGAAGGGATCAAGAAGAGATCCTGTCCCAAGGGGGGAAGGTATAATGGAGTTTTGCATTTGGGTATGCCGATCGACTTCTTCAAAAGCAAGCGGCCGATCGGGTAGACAGGGAACGGGAACAGCACGTACACCAGTTAATGATCCACATGGCGAGATCGATTCAGTCCGGATGGGTTGGTACTGAAGACCGGTGATATGGAGTGCGAAGCTTGCGAAGGCTGGAGCGCTGGCGGTGAGGTTTGAAAGAAGATAAGACACGGTTGCGGTGGTCGAGGTTGGCCTTCGCTTGCCTGACGCTTAGCGCTCGGCTAAGCCAACCAAAGCGCCGGGAGATCAGCCGGGACCACGTATGTAGTAACTCTGCCATGAGTTCATGCCTCAAACCCTGTTCTTTTCTCTTTTCTCTTCAATTCTTACGAAAATCAATCTACAAGGAACAGAAGTAAGTCTTGTGGTTTGTATATATTATTTTGGATTTGTTTGAATTTCGGATATTCTGAGGGATCAGCACACTGATCAGTCGGTTGGAACCTGTATCTACAACGTCGCGCGCAACAACAACCAAAAGGGGGTATACACTTCATGAGCCGCCTCCATGCAGCAAAAATAACACAAAACCAAACCAAACCAGAGTCCCGACCCGAAAAACAGAGGCCGCCCAACAGAAGGGATGTCATAAAAATAGTAATAAAAGGGAATGCGGGTAACAAATATGTATCACAAGAAACGAAGAAGCAAAAGCGATCGCCCCGTAAATGCAAACAAATGTCCTCCGAAGCAGAAAGCCATCAGCCAGGTAGGAAACAACAGTCAACGAGTGGGTGATCGTTAAAAATAATCAATATTTACAAGAAAGGCATGGATCCCTTCCGATGAAAAAAGGAAAGGTCTAGACAGATAGGACGAGCTGTGCGTCTTCTCCGACGCCATAGGCTCGGCACCTCTCAGCAACTGCGAGGCCCAGGTCCTTCATCCGTTCAGCACCCTTTCCGGGAATGGGTCGCCGTTCCATCTGCTCCTTGGCAGCTTTGCGACAATGTTGACGCCAGTACTTTTCTTTGCGCTTCTGGCGCTTTTTCTCGAGACCCTCAACAATATCGATGGGGCCTCTTGTATGCACTTCACGAGTGCGGGATGATTCACGCTCATGTGACTCTCGGAGGGGAACAATACCCGTCCAGCGATAAGAGCCATCCTGTTTAGCGAAGAAGGGGTTGGGTGTCCGAGGCAGTGACTTGGTACGAGTAACGTGCGAGCGTTGCACCAACTCGCTAATGTTCATGCCAGGCTGAGGATGGGTGGGCTCATCGCTGACAGCCTGTTCGACTTTGATCGGGGTCTTCAACTTCATCGGTGGGGGTGGGGAGCGTAGACGTCTGGGGGAGGAGCGGCCATGGCGACGAGGTGGTGGAGAAACCATGCGCTTGGGAGACAGGCGAGGAGACTGCTTTCGAGTCTGGTCAGCCCCGGTTCTTCCTCGAACTGGTTCGTCGACCATGATAGATTCTGCCAGATCGTCGTCGTCCTCTTCCTCATCCTCCTCATCAAGATCCGACGTCGGAAAGCTAGGGTCGATGTCTTGGGGGATGATGATTTGTTTGGAAAGCCGACGCTGCTCGATGCAAGACTTGTATGCAGCTTCTAGAGGCCGATCTTCGTCAAACGTGCCGCAGACGAAGTCCGTACTGTCGGGCAGGTTAGGGGTCCTAGGACGCATCTTCATAGGCTTAGCACGCGTGATGCCTTTGCCCGAGAGCGCAGGTGGCCATCTCCGGCTCAGATCATCATGACCAGAGTCGAAGGACGTGTTCGAGTCTCTCCGGGGGAGGACAGCAGGAGGAACCTCGAGAGTCAGAGGGCTGGTAGCGGCAGTAGTCGTAGCAGGAGCCCAGAATTCATACTCGGAGCCATCGTCGCTTTCATCTGAATCGGCAAAGCCTGCCTCGTTATCTGACTCGTTACCATCGTCCGATGAGAGGTCACTGACAGACTCGTCGTCGTCATCCTCATCATCATCATCGTCGTCGTCCTCTTCCTCGTCCTCAAGAGCCTCCTCCTCTGCTTCTTCGCCAAGTTTCCTAATCGCGATTTCTTTCCTCATACAATCACTCATAGTGATCTTGTCTGTGTAGTCACCAGACTTGGTGACCCATTCATCATCTTCCTCCTCAGAGCTAGCAAACTCGTGGAAGCGAGTGGCCTCGGATTCTTCAAACTTACCCAATCCGCTCGTGGGAACACCCCTCTTCTCGGTGGCTGGCTTCTCCTGATCCTGGGCGACCGGAGACATAACCTTCTCAGGGGACGCCTTACGAGCGATGGGGGCAGGTGACCCACGAGGACGTGATCGTACATTGACACCGCGGCACGGAGACCGTTCTCTTTTCGTCTCCGGATCACGGGCTGGGCAAACGAAGGTGAGGACCGTCCTCCGCTTCACAGGCTCTGTGGGGTTAGGGTTGGTATCAGTCTTCTGCGCGGTCGGTCGTTGCGGTGTGGGTGGCTGGGCCTTGGGCTCCTCCGTTTTACGCCCGCATGCAAAGCTGATGCATCTCTTGCGTCCGAGGTTGGCCTCAACAGTCGACTCGCTGGTTTGGATGGTCAACTTCTTGTTGCTGCCCATTGATGGGGCTTTGCTGGAGAGCTGAGCTGGCAGAGGTGGACTGGGAGTGCTGGACAAAGATGGGCTGCTCAGGCCTTCGTCGCTGGTCAATTCAGCAGTGGACACACCGCTAATATTACTGTGAGGATACGAGCGGTAGAAGGACCGGTCACGGGGGGAGGGTAGCTCTTCGGACGGGCTTATAGTCGGACTGTGCCGGAGGGCACGGGTGAGAAGGGATTCTTTCTTATCACTCATGGCGGTGGGGGACTTGACGTAAACCACACCGTCGTCACCGTTCATTTGGGCGGTATTCAGGAACCGGTGATCGGGAGGTTCGTCAATGTCGTCAGCCATTGCGTTTTCTTGCGGGGCAGACTTGTTGGACTGATGAGGTGAGAGTAGCATCTTCAAGATGTGTTGTATCGACGAGAAAGGTCGGTCACCACCACGGAAGTTGGCCATCACTTTATGATTAAATTAATACTGACGACAAAGCGGATGTGAGAGAAACAAGGTAAGTGAGGATAAAGAGACGGTTCGGTAGGTAGTAGTATGGTGAGCGGTAGAAAGAATAGTGGCGACGGCGAGGATTGGAGGATTCAATTGCTTGGAAAGAATATAATTCGATAATTTCAACAATCAAATATATTGAATAAGAAGATACTCTCTCAATATCGATCAATTGTGCAACCGATCGAGCCAGAGGGCAGAAGAGAATGGGGTCCCAAGAAGGACGAAGATGGTCATGATATACAAGGCATGGTGTTGAGGTATGGCGCAGCAGGGAAAGGAGACGGATGGCGTCAGGTATGCGGCCAAGATCTGCGATCTACGCCTTCTTCAATAGATGGCAGCTCAAAGAGCGCCAGAAGAAGACGCGTTCAAGAAAAACTCCAGAAAAAAACAATGTGTTGGCACTGGTAGGCTTTGAGTTCGAGATGGAGGAAGAAGGAATGTTAAGAGGAAGTCGGAGAATAAAAAAGTGATATTGGGAAGGGAGGGGAGGGCCAAAAGTGTATTTTAATAAAAAAAAGAAAAAGAAAAAGAAAAAATTAAATAATCAAAAAGGAAAATAGAAGTAAAAATAATGATTCAATGGTTAGCAGCCGGTACAGTAAGTACAGCGTAATTTAGAGGGGTGGGAGGGTTTAAAGGGAAAAATCATAATTAAAACCAAAATAAAATCAAAAATAAAATAAAAAAATTCCTATGACGGGGCGCGGGAGAGCGGCACTGGGTTTGGCTTTTTGGGGGGGTGGGAAGCCTTGATCGGTCAGGGTAAGTCACTGGTCAGGAGTGGTCGCCACACTGTCAACGACACTTGAACAACTACAATTAGTCAAGTTAAAAAAAAAATAAAAAAAAAAAAAAAAAAAGAAGGAATGAAAAGCGAAAAAGAGATCTTCTCTTGGCCTTCTTTTCTTCTGCAGACGCTTGGTCCAACCAACCCCGCCAAGACGGACCCACCCTGTCGCTTTACTCGCCAAACTGATGCATGCTTCTGTTCCTGCGGCTACGTGACGCTGGCTAAAAAATACAGTAATGCTGTAATTTTTGCAACGACGGTGTACTGCATAGAATCACCTCGTCGAGGATAACTTGGAAAGAAATTCATTCTAGAGAAATGCTTTCTCAACGGCGATCTCCATATCTTACTGGAAGCGAGATCGTCTCGTCTAATTGTCTGAAACTGTGTAGGTTAACCCTAAGTTTTAAAGGACTGAAAGAAGACTGATTGTTACAAGCCGGTTTCACCCATCGGGACCGGACTCATGCCGAGTGAGAGAGATGACTATGAGGCATTTTGGAAAGGTACCCTGGAATTACCTGAAAGGGAAAGGTAGCTGTCGAGCTGACTAACCCGCGCCAGTAATTTGCCCAACAAAAACTACATCTTGAAAAGTACAGACCGAGTTTATGCGACGAACCAAAAACCCACACACACACACACGCACACTTTAAACCCATCGGGGAGTATTCTCAGAAAAGACATAGATCCTATTCTTCTAGAAGATTAATTCCATGATCCTATTTCGATCTGACCCAGAAATGGATGCTACTAAATCTCGACGAACTATTGATGGACCCCCGATTCATGCTGTACGACTGTAAGTACATTTCACTTCACCCCCACGAGGACGGATACCAGGGCGGCACGAGCTGCAGCAGCCCTCGTAAGTCGTAACGCCGTCCCAGAGGTTGCCCTATCGCTTGGTCGGCCCTCTTGCCGGACGAGCGACGAGTAATGTAACCGTAAGTTACCTGGGCATTGCAGCCCCAGAACAACGATAAAGACAACCACTGGCACTTCAGTTTCAGTGACGATGGAGACAATGATGAAGAATACTCGGATGACTTGGATGCGCATATTATTATGGCTATTATTACTAACAAGCGAAGGCACTCTCCCAAAGTGCCACTCGCCCTCGACCGCCAGTCCTACTCTTACCTAACTAGTTACTGGTAACGTACCAACCGGAGCGCACACCAGGACGGCAAGAGTAATGGTAACCAACCCAGTTGAAAGCCTGAGGCTGCACTCG